AAGATATTAATTCGAACAATCAAAGGTCTGACCACCATCAGTGAATAAAGCCATGCATGGCCATTTGTGCTGAACATTCCAATATATGATGTTCTAATTACGGGAAGGAAATTTAGTTCAAATATTAACAAGTACGAAAGGAAATAGAGAGGGTGAGTTGCCAAGAATGTTATTCAAATACCTGTGGAAAGAATAGTAAAATGCTAAAAGGACAAAGTATTGCAAGTGAAATGAGAATAGCATAAAGAAAACTGGAAACAAAAATCAAACATTAAAATCAGAAACAAAATATTTGATCCAGACATAAAATGGACAAATATAGCAGTGAATAGAAAGCTGTTTTAAACGGTAATATAGAAATTGGTAGAATCACTTGGGAAACTGGATCCTAAGGATTTTTTTAAAAATCTATTTTACTGATTTTTTACAGAGAGGAAGGGAGAGGGATAGAAAGTTAGAAATATCAATGAGAGAGAAACATTGCTCAGCTGCCTCCTGCACACCCTCTACTGGGGATGTGCCCGCAACCAAGGTACATGCCCTTGACTGGAATTGAACCTGGGACCTTTCAGTCTGCAGGCTGAGCCAAACCAGATAGGGCTGGGTCCTAAGGATTTTAAGAATGAAATGGGAGAATGAAAAACAAGGATTTATTTAAGAGTTAATGATAAAATCATAGTGATTCACTGCAATTTCCAAACTGTTTTAAGATGAATAGCCGGCAAAATGAACAAGTTTAATGGAAATTAATCATTTAGTCTGAAGCACAAAATCAGAACAATAGTAGGGTGTGTGTATGTGTGTGTGTGTGTGTCCCTCCTATGAGCTTTCACAGAACTCTGCTTCTGTCCATTATGGTACTTTTCATACATTAGTGTAATTTCTTGTTTTCTTATTTCTCTCTCACATTGGACCATCTAGTGCTTGAGGACAATTATTTATTCTTTGATCCTCAGCACCTAAAATAATACCTAGACTATAAGGACTCAGAGAATGAATGAATGAATGCATTAACAAAAAATCAAATATAAGTTTTCATGTCCAAGTTTTTATAACCTAAAAAAATGACAGCAATAAAATGACAAGGAAGAAGAGCATTTTTCCCTTTAGATGGATATTCTAGAAAGGCCTATAAATTAATCATATTCACAAAGAAACTGAGACACCTAAGACTGCAACCTAGCATCTTATCTTTAGCCACAATAATGTCAACAATATAATAATGTCTTCATCAATAATGAATAAAGCCAAAAATCTGCATTCTTATTTTCTCATGTAAATCTTAAAACTTGGTCTTACTCTCTTGAACTGAAGACACTATTGAGAATTCAATTATAACTGTCTCTTTAAAATAAATGTCGCCTTAAAGATTTTGATAGAACATTATATTTATTATCAAATATGTACCTCGGTTTAAAAAAAATAGAGCAGCCCTGCCAACGTGGCTCTGTGGTTGAGCGTCAACCTATGAAGTAGGAGATCATGGTTCGATTCCCAGTGAGGGCACACGCTTGGGTTTCAGACTTAATCCCCAGTGAGGGGCGTGCAGGAGGCAACCGATCAATGATTCTCTTTCATCGTTGATGTTTCTGTCTCTCTCTCCCTCTCCCTTCCTCTCTGAAATCAATAAAAATGTTTTTTGAAAGTAAATAAATAAATAAAAATTAAAAACCAGAGCTGTTCTAAAAAAAAATAAAAAACCTGTAAAATATGATCGACATAAATGTACTGTAGGGAGAATTATGCTATAATATGAACAGTTTCCAACTGTTTTCTAAGAGACTGTAGCAGTAATGTGAATATCTTTCAATAAAGCTATAGTTTAATTTTTTCCAGGGAAATATTTTTAATAGGATTACTGACCCTTTTAACACTCTTAGAAAGAAAATGAATCCCATCAGCACTCTGGCATATAACTATTATAAAATTAAATAGAACAGTCAGTCAGTGGAAATGAGAATAGACCTGAGAAACAAAACTTATTGAAGAAATGTACATAAGTATGCATGGTTTTAACCACACATACTCTTTAACAGAGAAAAGATTCCACTACATAGCAGCAAAACGACCAAACAGACTAAGAGAAATTAAGGGCTGAAAAGAAGGGGAAAACTGTGAAGAAACAGCTTTCCTGTTTTCCTTAAAACTGAATGAAAGCCTGGCCGGTATGGCTCAATGGTTGAGCGTCGACCTATGAATTAGATCAAAGTTTGATTCCCTATCAGGGCACATGCCCAAGTTGCAGGCTTGGTTACCAGTAGGGGGCGTGCAAGAGGCAGCCAATTGATTTTCTCTCATCATTGAAGTTTCTCTCTCTCTCTCCCTCTCCTTTCCTCTCTCTGAAATCAATAAAAACATACTTAAAAAAAAACCTAAATGAACCATATTTACTTTGATCAGTTCTCCTATCACTCAACTCTTAGGCCTATCCCTAAGTCCCGTTTGGTTCTTCAGAAAGTACTTAAATGTTTCAGGAGGAAAAAGGATGCTTACTGATTTAAGACACATTTCTGCACTCACAACTCTTTGTGCTTTAAGAGGAATTTTTTCAGGTCATTAGTTTATAATGTGAATGGCGCCTAGGGATATTTTGAAAGGAAAAAAAAACTAGTGTGCTTGGAGATGCAGTTTATGTGATTTGTGTCATCATTTATTTCAGCTCAATTTGGGGCCCAAACTAAACTCAAAATGAAGTGACCACATGTGCAACAGTTTCTGTCTCAGCATGCAATGATCATACAGAACTCTGAAGAGAACAGTCCTCCTTACCCCCAAAACCAAAATATTATAACCTCCTTAAAACACCCAAGTCCTTGCACGTTCTTACTCTGCCATAGTATAAAAATAAAGTCAGCTTTACAAATAATTTGCAAAATAATTTTAATTATCAAAATGCCATTGGCATACCAAAATGCATAAATTCGGCTGGTTTTACCCTTGTTTTCACACACACATACCCCGGCATGTTTGGATCCAGTAATTCTGGAACTAAATCATTAGCCTCAAAGAAAGCAAGCATCTTCCTAAACCCAAGTTCATAGATTAAGGTGATTCGGCCATTATCATGATTAATCTGATCCACATATCATGTCAATATAGATCATTCAGAGTCCTAAAGGTAACTAGAGATTTCCTAAAGTCTCCATTTCCCTTAAGGATAAACAAAACCACAGTCCACAACTTTTAAGGGTAAACAAAACAGATATTGATATTCCAGCTACTTTGTACAACGAAAGAAACAAGGTAGAATCACTTTTTCTTTGCTTCCTGATAACGACCCTACTTTTACATTTGTCAAGGACACATGAATCATGACTTAAAAGCATGACAAGTATTTTGAGTGTCATGATCTTTAAGATTATGAAACTCCTTATTCTTATTCTCAGGTACATGTTAGAATCACCAGAGGAACTTTTACAAATTACTGATTTCTAGACCCCAGCTAAGACTTAGAGTGAGCCCTGGTATCAATATGCTCTAAAACAGTGGTCCTCAACCTTCTGGCCCTTTAAATACAGTTCCTCATGTTGTGACCCAACCATAAAATTATTTTCCTTGCTACTTCATAACTGTAGTGTTGCTACTGTTATGAATCGTAATGTAAATATCTGATATGCAGGATGGTCTTAGGCGACCCCTGTGAAAGGGTCGTTCGACCGCCAAAGGGGTCGCAACCCACAGGTTGAGAACCGCTGCTCTAAAAGTTCCTCCAGTGAGTCCAAGGTGCAACTAAAATGGAGAACCAATGGCCTCACAAGTGTGGATCAATGACCCAGAAAGGACCAAGGCTGAGATCAAGCCAATGAAGATCCGAAGCAGAATTTACAATATAAATTACAAACTCAAATGCCTACAGGAGCCACTTAAGTGAATGAAACAGGCGATGTATACACACATTTTTAGATTGTGTGAGTGCCAGAGAGCGCTACAAACTAGGGAGCTCACGGGGCAAGGGCTCCTGAGCTCTAGCTGATATTGCCGACAGGGAAATAACAGGTACTAGATCTCACTTATCAGAAAAAACACATCAAGATATTTATGTACAATTTCACAACTCTTAAATGTTGGCTCAATTCAAAAAACAAAAATAATACTGTAGGTTGCAAACAAAACACATAATGACACACACGACACAGGTTTGGCCTTTAGGCTTCAGTTAGTCACTTCTGGTCTAAAAGTTCGTTTCCGTTGTACAAAAATCAGAGCTCACTTATCAGAAAAAACACATCAAGATATTTATGTACAATTTCACAACTCTTAAATGTTGGCTCAATTCAAAAAACAAAAATAATACTGTAGGTTGCAAACAAAACACATAATGACACACACGACACAGGTTTGGCCTTTAGGCTTCAGTTAATCACTTCTGGTCTAAAAGTTCATTTCCGTTGTACAAAAATCAGAGCACCATCATCATCATCATCATCATCATCATCATCACAACAACAACAATCCCTAGCCTTCATTAAGTACTTACATGTTAGCCAACATGCTAAGAGTTCTACACAGATTCTCTCAATTCGCCAGCACCAACCTTTGGGGGTCTATTATTATTCCCCTTTTCCTCGATAACCCCGTTCCCCAAGATCACAAAGCCAGAAAGTGGCGATGCCAGGATACAAATGTTTGCAGTATAACTCCACAGCCTATCCTGTGCTATATTTCTTTAAAGTTTTAAACATGCTTTAAAACCCCTCCACTGTTTGCACTTGGGTTTCTCCATAAATAAAATGAAGAGATTATACTGATTGGTTTCTCAGGTCCTTTTTAACTCTCAAATTCAACAGTTCTGACTCCATCATACAACTCCTGGTTGCATTAAAAATGTTGGTATTTACATGAATCAGCCATGAATGCCCTGATAAGAACTGTCTGATCAAAGGAATGGAATGAATGAATGAATGCTCATCCAACAGTCTTTTGGAAAAGGAGCAAAGACATAAAATTATACTAAAATTCTTTATCTCTACTACTATAGAAAGTTTACTTTTCCATTTTACCTTTCGAAAGATGAGTAAAGGTGCTCAGAAATTCTTCGTATGTTTGCTCATGACAATTAACAAACTTATCCAAGACTTCTTTAATTATTTGATCTTCATCCATGGTCTCCAGTTCTGGTATTTTGGCAGGCATTCCTATTCACGGGGCCACTTTATCTATAAAACGAAGAAAAGCGTGAGTTGGACAGAGTCATGCAGTACCAGCCTCTCAGAAAATACTGTAATGAGCAGGTGAAAGAATTGCAAGACCCAAAAGGACAGGTCAAGATAGTTACTACAACAGTAATAAGATCGAGTTCAAGAGGTCAGAGTTCATTCATATCCTGGCTTCTGAAGTGCGATCACAACTTTATTTTTGCTTCAGTTTCCACATTTCCATCTCCTTAATTCACGCCTTTTCATCTTTGTATCCCAAACGTTTAACAGCTCAGGAAAGGGCATAGAGCTGGCAGTCAATCAATATGAGGCTAAAATTATAGACAGTCCCTGACTTAAGATGGTTCAACTTAGGATTCTTTTTTTTATTTTAGCGATGGTGTGAAAGCAATATGCTCTCACCATACTTCAGATTTGAATTTTGGACTTTTCCTGGGCTTATGATATGCAGTATGATACTCTCTCCTGATGCTAGGCAGTGACAAGAGGCTGCACCTCCCAGTGAGCAACACGATCATGAGGATAAACAACTGATACTGTCTAGTGTAGTATTAAATGCATTTTCAACTTACAATATTTTCAAAAGCTTATGCTGGCTTTATCTCAATATAACGCAATATGCTCTCACCATACTTCAGATTTGAATTTTGGTCTTTTCCTGGGCTTATGATATGCAGTACGATACTCTCTCCTGATGCTAGGCAGTGACAAGAGGCCGCACCTCCCAGTGAGCAACACGATCATGAGGATAAACAACTGATACTGTCAGTGTAGTATTAAATGCATTTTCAACGTACAATATTTTCAAAAGCTTATGCTGGCTTTATCTCGATGTAAACCCATCATGAGTCAAGGAGTATCTGTTCTCATTTGAGCAGGTACTACAGTCTGATGTGGCTAGAAACTGGCAAAACACTCATGTAAACTTGCCCAATTACTTCACCTGTGCCTCACCGGACATGCCTTCAAGTCCTTTCATCCTCCTGATCAATCTACCTGGAAAAGGTTACACACCGCCTCCTTTCCTTTAAAACAGGCCATCCAGAAATGAAATCCAGACACGGTCTGGATACACTGAGATGGGACTAACTCCCACACTAAATATTGCATGCCTGCTACATAGCTGAAGACCATGTTCACATTGCTGGTGGCCCCTCCAGTGTCAGTTCACTTGCCATAACTAAATGCCTGTTGGCTAAGACACAGTGACTGCCTCAATTCACACACAGTTTAAACTTTGTCTTTAGTTATGATGTTTCACCTTGTTAAATTCCATTCATTCTGGATGGAATGTTAGTCTCACCTAGCTTTGAGAAAATTGACTATCTATAAAAAGCACAGGAGCAATTACTGCCTAAGTAGCTGGTGTGATTCAGGGGGGATAGTAAAGAGGAGGGGTTCTCAAATACTGTCTAGCAAACAGAGGAAGCACCAAGATTCTTATATTTTTCTAAAACAAGAAAAAAATCAGTTATCTGTTATTAACCATATTTATTTGGTTAGCTCAGAAAAATAAATAAAAATGTTTTCACAAGATGATATCTAACCTCATTTGATGGAAGGATCTGATCTGAATTAACATGAAAGTACTTACAGCTTTAATTTTTATTTCACTCAGAGTAACTATTCATATAGTTCCCTGTAGAAATACTATCTGGCTTGCTTTTGTGATGCTTTTCCAGACCCCACTGGAGATTTTGTGTAATATGTGGCGCTTTCCCTGATTACCTTTGTAAACTCCAAACTATTCTGAAATCTGAAATACACCTGACCCCAAGGTTTTAAATAAGAAATTGTGAAGCTACATGTACCTCCCAGGATTGGAATGAGGATTAAATGAATAGACACTGCACCTCAAGAAGTGTTAGCCATGATGATCATGGTGATGACAATGGATCGGGCTTAGTACTCGGTCCTCTGCCTACACAAAGACCTCTTTTGACTGTCACTCCTCTGACTTTGAAGGCGCTGCTATTACCTTCAGATAAATCAAGATAAGTCCTCACTCACGACAACCCCAGATAAATCATGGTGCTGTAAAAGACGGGGTGAAATAAAATGTGGAGCTCTGTACCAACTCAAAATGAAAGAAACTGTTTCAAACTATTTTTGTTGTTGTTAATCCTCACCAAAGGATATTTTTCCATTGATTTTTAGAGAGAATGCAGGGGAGGGGAGAGACAGACAGAGAGAAACATTGATGTGAGATAGATACATTGATTGGTTGCCTCCCACAGGAACCCTGACCTGGGCCAGAGGACCAGGCTGGGGATTGAACCTGCAACCCACATACGTGCCCTTTGATGGGAATCAAACCGGGGACCCTTCAGTCCGCAGGCCGATGCTCTATCCACTGAGCAAAACTGGCTAGGGTTCAAACTACTGTATGAATTAGATATAGGAAAAAGCATCAATTAAGGTTTATGAAAATTTACTTGTAACACTGCCAACCTTCAGCAATCCAAAGTTTAATCAATTATGTTTGGAGTTGCTAGATAAAAAATAATGATAAAGAAATTCCCAGGTAGCTATTATGCCACTACCAGTAGGACATGTACTTAATTCCAAGAATGTCAATGTCAATCCAATTTTCCAGAATTGAACCCCAACAAAACTCTAACACTGAATTATATCAATGTTGCTCGAACCATCTCGGGTAACTACTTCAGCAAGCAAACACCACACAGCAACAGTCACCCGTATTGGAGATTGCTGTAGATGTCTCCTTTAAGACTTTAAGTGAAGACAGAAATTCCTTTAAACTTCCCAATTCTCAAACTGGAATAGTTTGAGTAGTTCGCCTTAACACATGTCAGCTTCACTAAAGGCAAATAATCAACAGACTGTGCCCAGCACAAATTCAAAATCCTTCAAGACCTTTCATTTCCTTCACATGATTATCACAGTAAAGAAGAGGTTATGCTTTCATTGACTTTTTTAAGACTTTTGGAAAATCCAGTTTCACAAAATGTCATTATTGGAAGCACTTAACAAATACCCACCTTCAAATGTAGAACTTGCCCTGTCTGTGAAAATACAAAGAACCTAATGTGAAAAGTCCCCCGGGACTGACAGAGCAGCTCAGCGTTCGCCAGACAGTCGAGTGGTTTATGCAAATCCCAGTGGTTTTCTAAAAGGAAGCAATGCTTTTTCAGTTACTATTCATATTGTGTTTGTGTTTTTATCATAAAGTATTTTTCTAAAAGAAAGGGAGAGAGAGAGGGAGAAAGACTTGCCTGGATAACAAGATTCTTTGCTTTGCTTTGGTTTTCATGTTTTGGGGCTTAGAAGCTCCACATGAAAGACCCAGAACATACCATGATAAGTCAATGTGTATAAATATCTACCGGTAAATCATAAGTATCACCATCACAATCACAGCCTCCAGTAGGAAACACTGGGAGGAAGCATTGCTCTGCTCGGACGACTAAACATCACAGGAAACCACAGGTTTGGTGAGGAACAGGGTTCTCTTCTGATCGAGCTGCTGAGCACAGGAGCCGTCCCTGGAGTCGTTTTCTACCACCACCCAAGCCCATCTGAGTGTGTGCTCTCTGAAAGGAGGTTATTATGAAATATGGGATGTGGAATTACCACCATTGACTTAGCACATCGTTGATGTTTACCTTCAGATCCCTGCTCCATGCAGCTTACCTACACACAACTTTCAAAGACAAGAGTGTAAGCCTTAAGAGACAAGATGCCATGAGCTAGTCTCCTCTCAATGTGCATAGCCAGCTTTTTAAAATTATTTTATTGCTGAGGGAGAGAAAGAGAGAGAGAAAGAGAGAGAGAGAGAGAGAGAGAGAGATTGTTTGGAAGGTCATCTAGTCATAAGTTGTTCTACTTATTTATGCATTCATTGGTTATTTCTTGTATGTGCCCTGACTGGGGATCGAACCCACAATCATGGCATACTGGGTCAATGTTCTGACCAACTGAGTGACCTGACCAGGGCCATAACCTGCTTTTTAACAGCAGAGGGAGAGCTCTATGTCCACAAACAGGCTTTAAAAAAAAACTGGGCGCCTTACCACTGATACTTAAATAAATAACACATTTTTAAAGATTTGTCCAGGAGCCATCAAAACGCACTTTCTCAAATTCTCATAGTTCTGCTCAACAAAAATCTCCTACTGTGCTCAAAGGTAAGATGGGATATTATCAAAATAAGTCTCCCTGCATAAGGAAACGAAACCATCAACCTTGATATTTCATAGAATGGGTCTGCCTTTGTAGTTTGGAAAATGGACAAATCTCAAAAAGACCAAGTTGCATTGTAAGGGTACTGAGTTAATTTATGATAGAAGAGACCCGGTGTGAACTGATTGCTTCTTCCTTGACAACTACACCTATTTTGCATCCTCTAATTTTTTTAGGTCTTTTAGTTCATATTAAGAAAAGAGAAAGGAGACCAGTGACAGAAGTTGCCACAGATTCTTAGACTTGAGAGAAAGAGGAAGGTCCAACCACTGTGAATGAATGAATGAATGAACCTGGGAAACTTTAGTTGGGGTTTTTGTCATCTAATGACTCTATTGATGAGAAGTATTGTGTGGCTCTCAATGTCATAAATAATAATGACATGCTCATGATTATGAATCTCAGGGTATATATGAAGTCAGTAGGAAATTAGGCAAAAAGCAACAATCTCCCCCTGGATGGGTATATCTATGCCTCCGACTATATTCTGTACCCAGTAATACTGTTGTTTCAAATACTTACCAATACAAACAAGGAAACAAAGGAAAATATAAAAGGAATAAAGAAGAAGGCATAAATACAAATCTTACAAAATAGAAAAGAATCTCAACTCCTTTACTTTTTTCCCCCTAAGGATGAGATAATAACATACAATTCTAACATCAAAGAATACACTGCATTTCAAGTTATAAGCTTCTGCCAACCAATCTATTCTAACACTTAAAAGGCATGGAATTTTTCATTATCACCAAAAATGTTGATGGCATAAGCATCTATATTTTACAAAAATTCTCCCAGGTACACTGCAGTGAATATCAAAGGAAGCACTGAGAGAGAGGACTTTAGAAAAGAGAAGTTGTGTTGTCATCCATGCAGAGGTCTCAGTAGGAGGCATGTCTTAGCTATACTTTTTTCCTTGACCAAATCTCATTTTAAGGAAAAGTGAAGAAGAATTGCATGTAATAAAAAATGCGGGCTTACTACATGCTTACCATGAACTTAGATATCATGAAGTTTGCCTTAACAGAACAGGTTCTAGTTCCTCTCCTAATGAAGACTGTAATCTACACGTTCAATACAGGACTCCATTTTTGTAACAGAAATGACTATGATGACCTGTTTCATGATTAGTGATATGGAATGGAGTGAAAACATCCTATATAATAAAAGCCTAATATGCAAATTGACTGAACAGTGGAACGACCATGGAATGACCGGTTGTTATGACACACACTGACCATCAGGGGGCAGACACTCAAAGCAGAAGCTTCCCACAGCCTGTAGGTCCTGACCTGGGTTGGCGACGGGGGGCGGGGCCAGCGAGTGGGCGGTGCCAGGCCAGTCAGGCAGGTGCCAGCAGGGGGCCCCAACTGCCTTGCCAGTCACCCTGCAGATCAGCCCTGATCGCCAGCCAGGCCTAGGAACCCTACCCATGCACAAATTTCATGCACTGGGCCCTAGTTTTAAAATAAAGGATGTAATAGGAATAAGGACAATAAAACATATCAAGGCAAAATAGTGAATTTTATAAAGGAAGCAGGAAATATATATATAGACAATCTGTACGATATGGGACTAGGGAAAAGTATGATCCATAAAAAGAAAATTTGATCAATTACACCTTAGGAAAATTAAAAACTTTGCTCTGTGAAAAATCCTGTTAAGATGAAAAGAAAAATTACAGACTAGGAGAAAATATTTATAAGTCACATATCCAATAAAGGACCAGCATATAGGATATAGAAAGAACTCTCAACACTTACTAAAGAAAAAATCCAATTTAAAAAGGACAAAAGACACATATAGATATTTCAGCAAAGAGGATATATAAATGGAAAATAATCTCATGAAAAGATATTCAATATCATTAACCACTAGAGAGATGCAAATTAAAACCACAATGAGTAACTTATTAGAAATGACTAAAATAAAAAATTGTGTTAACACCAAATGCTGGCAACGATGCAGGAAAACTGAGTAACTTGTATGTTGCTGGTGGCAGTGCAAAATGGTTCAGCCATTCTGAAAAAGATTTCACCAGTTCCTGACAAAACTAAAAATGGACTTAGCATACAAATGAACAATTGCACTCTTTGCATTTACCCCAGAGAAATAAAGACTTATTCCCATGCAAAAAGTTGTATATGAATGGTCATAGCAGCTATAGTCACAATAGTAAAAAGAAAGGAAACTATCCAAATATCCTTTAGAGGGCGAATAGTTAAACTGTGGTACGTCCCTACCATGGAATATTACTCAGCAATAAAAAGGAACAAACTATTGATTCATTCAATAACCTGGATGAACCTCAAAGAAATCATGTGGAGTGAGAAAAAGCCGATCTCAAAGGGCTATACTAGTGTACAGACTGCATGATTCCATTTATATAACATTCATGAAATGACAATTATCAAGATAGATGGGGAACAGTTAGTGGTTGCTGGGGTTATAAACAAGGGGAGGAGATAGGTGAGTATCAACGGGGTAACGTAGTGGATTCCTATAGTGGTGTTACAGCTGAGTATCTTGATTGTGGTAGTGGTTATGCAAGGCAACACGTGTGCTATAGTTGAACTACTCACACATACAAATGAGTGTATATATACATAGCTAGTGAAATCGGAATATACTGTGTGGATTCTACCAATATCAATTTCCCACATTATACTACTACATTTGTACAAGGTGTTAACATTGCAAAAGGCTGGATTATGGAATCTCCCTGGACATTTCTTTACAACATCATGTGACTCTATCCTGTGAATCTATAATTATTTCAAAACTAAAAGTTTAAAAAAGGGGGGGGGGTAGTTGTAGAAGAAGGTTGAGCCACCTAAGGCAAAAGAGATTTAAGAAAAGAAAAAATTGCCCTAACCGGTTTGACTCAGTGGATAGAGCATCGGCCTGCAGACTCAGGGGTCCCAGGTTCGATTCAGGTCAAGGGCATGTACCTTGGTTGCTGGCACATCCCCAGTAGGGAGTGTGCAGGAGGCAGCTGATCGATGTTTCTCTCTCATCGATGTTTCTAACTCTCTATCCCTCTCCCTTCCTCTCTGTAAAAAATCAATAAAATATATTTTTTTTTAAAAAGAAAAGAAAAAATTATCACTAAACGTTTTACCAGGAATGTTGGCACTCAGCACGTTGATTGCTTTCCCCCTGCAGAAAGCTCTGGGGGATGGGAATAATGCTAATCTATAAAATTACATGTTTAAGCAGAAACTTTCCTCTTGAAAAATTTGCTTCCCTATCCTGTGCATTCATCCAAGCTACTATAATGACGTTTCTTGAGGCTATCATTCATTAAGCCTGGCTGTTCATCAGCAGATTGTATAAAATCAATTTTATTTCCCCCAAATATACTCTTCCTCCAAGCTGTTTAAGTCAATCCAGACATATCGGCATTGGCTCACTGAGGCAGGTCAACTGAGCATTAGGCTGTTTTCAATTACACAGTTCTGCATTCCATTAAACAAAGAAAAATGCAAACAGTTAAGCATTCAAACTTCCTCTCTGCTCACTCCCTGTCGTTTTTTAAAAAACAGATCACCCTTGGATGTGGAATCTGAAGGATACACCCATAAGACAAATTTCAGAAAATCCGTTGTTTCTGAAATCAGGAAGAATACCTTTTCGCCACCATTTTTGTTTCTTTTACCTGCTTTTTTTAAAACTTTAGAGTTGTGGGTAACCACAAGTAAATACCCTGTCTTCATCCCCTAACAAAACTCCCACATCATTTGACCTCTAGGCTAGCACATTTATTAAGAAAAATGTACAATATACATTTATCAACCATATTCAAAATTGATCTCCTACCTTCGGAACTGTGATCAACTACATCAATGAGTTTTGGACAATGACAGTGAGTGTTTGAGTGAACATTTCTTGAAAGGCCCCTTTCAAAGAATCCATAAGGTAGTAGTTCCAGAGTCAACTTACAGCTCTATAATCATGCAATAATGTTTAAATCATAAAAGACTTATTAGCTCATTATAATCCCACCTTCACATGGGATGCAATGTCCCATTAACGCTTATTTAATCTGTATTGCACAACTATAACTGGAAGGCATCCACTCCTGATTAAAGGTATCCCCCTCTCTCCAGCTTCCTGAGCCTGCCGGCCACCTGCGCCCAGTGCGGTGCAGAGCACTTTACACCAGAAAGCCTATTTTAAAGCAAAATGTGCACAGTGGGTTAGGAGCAGGTGTAGACCAACGGAACTAAATCAACTCTGCTTGCAGGAGTTCATTTCTAAGTATTTCAAAATGCCAGATCTTGCAAATAAAATCGACCTTTTCATTTGACATTCTCTTAAGAGAAATGAGATTTTAAAGATGTATTTCCCAACTATTTTTAATTCTAAATTCCTAAGAATGTGAAATTATAAATGGGCTTTAAAGACAACGCAGTGATTCCCCAGCTTCCACTTACTCTCAGCATTTGTATTTGCAATTTTGCCTCAATGTACACAAAACAAACACACAAACACACATACAAAATTTCTTCTTTCCAACATGGTTTCTATACTCAAAGGTAGAAATTAAGAACACAAACTCCCTCATCTAAAAGTTAAATTTTTATTAGTACACCACTGTAAAACACCTATGAAATTTCCCCCCATTTAACTTTATAGCAAAGAGTGCACCTCAAATCAGAAAACATGGAACATAGAAAAATACCAGCGATTCTGGTCAGGTGGCCATATTTAATTAATTGCTTTAAACAAAAAAATGACAAGTCACTTGTCATGTTCTTCTCTTGACAATCCATCATACTAACTGTAGATTGCTTCTGTGCATATATTTACTTTTCCTTCCTCTTTTCTCCTCTTTGTCAGTTTCGGTTGTGGCTCCTATATTGTGGGATTCACTCAAAAAGCCAAATTTCTCCCTTTCCTTTTCTATTCATATTATTTTCTTAAAAATCAACCACCTAGCCCAGCCAGTGTAGTTCAATGGTTGAGTGTCAACCTATGAACCAGGAGGTCATGATTCGATTCCGGTCAGGGCACACACCCGGTTTGCGGGCTCAGTCCCAAGTGTGGAGTGTGCAGGAAGCAGACAATCAATGATTCTCTCTCATCACTGACGTTTCTCTCTCTCTCCCACTCCCTTCCTCTCTGAAATCAATAAAAATATTTTTTTAAAAAATCAACCACCTATTAAAATTTCTTAAATTGTCTATGCCTATCCAAATGCTATGTAAAGTTCACCAGCCTTACTTCAAACACTAACTCATTGAGCAACGATGTAATTTGTTTCTGCATTTATAAAATAGGGGTGGAGATGCTTGAGGGGTGCCCTGGGCTTCTTGGTTAACACTGTCATGAGTTCACGGAAGAGCGTTTCTCCCCTACCTCCGCTCAACCCACTAGGTACACACACCTGCAGCTCTGTCACCCTGGTCAAGTTACTTAACTTCTCTGGCCGTAAGTTGTTTGATTGTAAAAATAAAGGGACTGGACTTGAAGCTGTCTTCCATTTCTGACATTCTATTTTTCTCCAATTATGCTTGCTTTTTGTTCAATTACTATGTCAGTATATCTCATTACTTTTATGTCCCCTGTGGAATAAAAATTATTTTATTCTGTAATTACACTGATTTGTATTCTTTAATTGTCCACTGTTTCTTGGATTTAAGGTAGGAGAAATCAATATATTTCAGGAGGAGTTTAAATTTGATTCTGCCTCAAGGTTTAAGAATGGGCTGAGTAACCTATAATTGAGATTTCTTGGTGAACTTTTAAGGGTAAGTATGGGAAGAATGTGGGGCATCTTTATCCACAATCAAAAGTTGCTTCATCCTACTATCATGCATGTTCCTTAAGGGAAAGATCTATGTCCGTGATTTTTCCCCATTTCTCCCCATGACTGTTCATAGTGGACATACAATAAATTGTTTACTATTTCACGTTTAGTTTCTATGCTGAGCACTTTGGTAGACTGAGACCTTGGATAAACATTAGAATAGAGCATAAAGAAATGAACATTTTTATGGTTATGTGATAGGCTTACTAGGTGGTATATATTTTTCTTGATGCAACGGTTTTTAATTAATTGTTTTAAAATTATGTCAGCTACAATAATTAAGACTACGGCATTGGTGAAAGAAAAGGCAAATGGATCGATGGAATAGAATAGACAGCCCAGAAATAGACCCACACAAATATAGTTAACTGATCTCTGACAAAGGAGCAAAGGCAATACAATGTAGCATGGACAGTATTTCTACAAATGATTCTGGAACAACTGGACATCCACATGCAAAAAAAATTTAATCTAACCACAGACAGCCCACCCTTCACAAGAATTAACTTAAAATGGACCATGGACCTAAATGTAAAACACAAACCATAAATTTCCTAGGAGAAAACGTGGAAGAAAGCCTAGATGACCTTGGATATCTCGACAACTTTTTAGATACAACCCTAAAGGCATGATCAATGAAAGAAATAATTGATAAGAGAGACTTCATTAAAGTTAAAAACTTCTGCTCTCTGAGAGACACTGTGAAGAGAATGAGAACACAAGCCACAGACTGAGAGAAAATACTTGCAAGAGACATATCTGATAAAATGTTATCCAAAACACAAAAAGAACTCTTAAAATTCAACAATAATAAAACACTGCAATTTAAAGAATAGGTGGCCATATTTAATTAATTGCTTTAAACAAAAAAATGACAAGTCTAAAGACCTTAACAGACACCTCAACAAAGAAGATATACAGATGACAAATAAGCACAGGAAAAGATGCTCCACATAATATGTCATCAGGGAAATGCAAAGTAAAACAATGAGATACCATCATACAACCATCCGAACGGCCAAAATCCAGAACACTGACAACACCGAATGTGCAGCAACAGGAACTCCCGTGCATGGCTGGTGGGAATGCAAAGTCACACAGCCACTTTGGAAGACAGTTTGGCATTTTCTTACAAAACAAAGTATACACTCACCATATGATCCATCAATCCCACTCTTTGGCATTTACCCAAAGGAGCTAAAACTTATGCCCACACAAAAACGGGCCAATGGATGCTTATAGCAGCTTTATTCATAAATGTCCAAACCTGGAAACAACCATGATGTCTTTCAGTAGGAAAGTGGATAAATACACTGCTTAGCGCGCGCGCACACACACACACATGGAGCTATCAAGCCAGGAACCTTTAATGCGTATTACTAAGGTAAAGAACCCAATCTGAAAAGGTTACGTACTGTGTGATTCCAACTACAGGCATACCTCATTTTTCTGTGCTTCACTTTATTGTCCTTCACAAATGTTTCTTTTTTTTTTTTTTGCAAATTGAAGGCAAGACCCTCCACCAGCAAAATGATCATAACTCGCTTTATTGCAATACTCACTTTATTACAGTAGTCTGGAACCACAATATCTCCTAGGTATGCCTGCATGTAACATTCGGGAAAACTCAAAACTATGAGAACAGTAAAAAGAGGAGAGAGGGAGGTATGAATATACAGAGCACAGAATATTTTTAGGGTAGTGAACCTATCCTATATGATGCCATAACTGTAGATACAGGTCATTTTTCATTTGTCCAAACCCGCAGACTACATCACACCTGATGCAAAGTATGGACTCTGGTGATAATGATGTGTCACTGTAGGTTCGATTGTAACAAATGTACCTCTGGTGCGGGTGTTGACAATGGGGGAGGCTATGCATGAGTGACACAGGAGGCATATGGGAATCTCTGTAACTTCCACTCAATTTTCTGTGAACCTAAAACTGCTCTAAAAAATAAGTCTATTCAAAAATTAAGTCAACTTTTGCCATCTTTCATTTATTCTTCCTTTGACTGTGAAATTTCTGGGGTGGGAGTGGGAGAGGCTACCAACATAGTTGGATGGGCACTCTAAATACAATATCTCATTTAATCATTTGCAACAACCTTTTAATGTAAATATTTCTATTATCCCCATTTCAGAGATGGGGAAAGAAGCTTGGAGATTAAGTAACTCCACCTTGAAATGGCAGAGTGAGCAGAGAAAATCAGGTCAGCTTGACTCCAAAGCCCACCGTCTCGATCATTCCCTTGTACAACATTACACAGAAGCTCCCTCATATAAGCTAGTAATAGGTCTCCAATAATTAGAACTCCTTTCTGAGGCTTACATTAGAGAAAATGAAACTGTCAAAGAACAATTCCAAGTCAAAGTGACTGACAATGGGTCCAGCTGGTGTGGCTCAGTGGTTGGGCATCAACCTAAAAACCAGGAGGTCACGGTTCATTTCCCAGTCAGGGCACATGCCCGGGTTGTAGGCTTGATCCCCAGTGCGGGGCATGGAGGAGGCAGCCCATCAATGATTCTCCCTCATCACTGATGTTTCTATCTCTCTCTCCCTCTCCCTTCCTCTCTGAAATATATATATGTATATAATGATTAACAATGGTATTAATGGTCACTGCTTTAGGAAAAATAATTTCCCATTTGATTCATAATAGTATCTATTTAAATCATAGCAATGATATTCATTTTCTTCTGTGTTTTTCTAAAATTTTTTCAATAAAAATATAAATAAGGTTTCAACCAGATTTTTCCTTTGTCTTTACAGATGAACAGTGGGCTGTGTGTCCATTGTTTCCCAGCAAGGAAATAGTTAAATCTTGAGGGTGCACCCTGGTGGATATCTCCCTCAACCGTCTAAAGAAAAAAAAGGTCACAGTCAGTTACTCCCGTTAGAGCAGTGTTCGCCTGAACATCTGCAGGCACACACACACTCTCTCTCTCTCTCTCTTTACTGTCCGCCTTCTGCCTGCCACGGCCAGAGTGGGCAGTCAGTGAATCTTCCCCAAGTCCCGCTGACATTTAATACCTGGTTTAGCGGCAAAGACTCAGAGGGGGGTGAAGCGGCCCCTCTGGCATTCAGGTAGGTCCAAAACTTTCATTTCTACCAAAGCCGAAAGATGGGCACCTATGTTTGTCAACTGTAAGGGGAAGACCCTTCAGCAGCGTGTTAGTTAGCAGGTGGACTGGAGATCCAGATGGGGAAGGGATGATGTCGAATTTGGAAACTCGGGGGCCTTCTGGTCTCAAGCTGCTGCAAGGATTTAATCCCTGTGGCATCAGAGCCCATTATTAATCTTAGCGCATAAATGCTTCTCTGGCCTAAATGTCACAAGGAAGACCTAATTCTGGTTTGACTACCAGCAAAACAAAACAAAACAAACAAACAAACAAATCAGATAATGTATGTCTCAAACCTGATTAACCGAGCCAGGTATGGTTAATCCATGCACCAAATGACTGCAGTTGCATGAGGTCACCTGCTATTTTGGAGCAATCAGAAAAACATTGGTGACACTGATGAGTAAGTTTTCATGCTTTGGAGTACAGTGGTTTTCTTTGAGAGGAAAAGAGTCCATTCAGGCACAAGAAACTACAAGCCCAGACCTCACACCATCAGTCCTCTTTTGATTCTCAGCTATGCCCTGGCTTCACGGCGCACAAATGAACATCTCCCTGCTGAGAAACGTTCGCATGTGGTTGGGAGAATTGTTTAAGTTTATTGAGCCTATAGTTCTGTCTTTTAAAAAGAATACTGAATGTGTTGATTTTGAAACTTCCTTTGGTTGAAGAACAGTGTCTTCTTTTTTTAAAATCTACCTGACTAAATAAATATTGCAAAATAATGTGACAACACCTTCAATGTTCCTGTTTATTCTTTACAGACCTAAGTCATCTGGTCATGGTTCAGTTATGGGTAATCTAACATTAAGTGCACCAATAGTTGAACTGTGTTACAAGAGGCGTTAATTCATCTTAACAGAAGTAAACTTGAGCATTGTTTTTAGGTCCCTGAAGTGATGAGGTGGGCCAACGGCAGGGTATCAAAGAGAGAATAGGTCAAAAATCTTTAGGAATCTGAACTAAGCTACAACAAATGGGTAGTATTCCTTATGCCTTGCCCAAGAAAATGTTTCTGTTTCATCTACGTTAATCATGTTTTCGCTCAAGAGAAGCCGATACCCCTATGACAACCTTACCATGAAGCCAATGGGCTGCAATGAAAACAGTTTTTTTAAAGCTTGCTGCTTAAAACCAAGTGTTCACCCTGGATGGGCTGCTTTATATTCTAGTAACAGCCTTCATCAGTGTTTAAAACAAACAGGCTTTGGCTTCAGCAATCCCTCCACCCAAAAGTGGGCAACTCTGTGACCATCATCGCACAGTATTCTGGGTGTGATCACTTAGGGTTTGCATTTACGGAATTGAGGGTCAACAGTTTTTCCTTTTAGTTCCTTTTCCACTTTCTTAGTGGCACAGATGCCTTCTCTTATGTATACTTGGGTAGGCCACAAAGAAAGAAAACACTTGCCCACGTTATTTCAAAAGCAGGGCAAGCTGCTGAACCTACAAACCACTGTGGTCTGAGGAAGAGAGAAGCTTGCTTTCATCACTTTAGCAACCGTCCATCTCATTCACCATTCATTTCTCACTTGATTGATTATTAAAAGATCTCACCTTGAGGACTCTCCCAACTAAAACTAATGGGTAGAAAGGATATTTAGCAATTAATTACATCCATCTACAGAAGTAATTCAAGGCAGAAAGCCCCACCAACATCTCAGACTGACCATAGAGCCTAAATGGTCCCAGGAACCTTTGGAGGGGGTATAAAAATATATTATAGTATTAACATTTACTGAATACTTATTATGTGCCAGGCACTCTGCTATGAGATTTACATACACAGGGATTTACATTACCCCATTTAACCTTCAAAGCAACCTAATGTAGCCTTAGCCAGTTTTGCTCAGTGGATAGAGCACTGGCCTGTGGACTGAAGGGTCCCGAGTTCGATTCCAGTCAAGGGCACATGCCTATTGGGCTCGATCCCCAGTAGGGGTCGTGCAGGAGGCAGCCAATCGATGATTCTCTCTCATCATTGATGTTTCTATCTCTCTCTCCCTCTCCCTTCCTCTCTGAAATCAATAAAAATATATTTTTTAAAAGACCAATATATAGATACTAGTATTATCCTCATTTTACAGATATGAAAAGACAGGGGGAAAGTAACTTGTCTAAGATGGTTCTAGAGCAACTAGTTTTAGAGCCCAGACTTGGACTCAGACAATCCAATATAAATCTGCATATTTAATGAGGGGTTACAGAAAGGGTCACAAGAAGGATGAAATATTTCCTTTTATCTAAATTGAACCCATCACCAGCATCTCCAATGCTTATCCAATTCTCATTAGTCTAAAAACAATTACCAGTCTATACCTACTGACCAGATTCCCGAATCCTAAAGCCCTTCTAATCATCTTAGTATTATAAATATGATCGGCCACGACCAGCAGGTAACTGTGTACTAACAACCTTCCTTTTGATAAGTTCAAGTATAATCATAACAACTATCATGTACCGTGTGCAAAGTCCTGTTCGAAGTCCTTTATATGTGTGCATTAATTTATTAATCGAGACTTACCAACCTATGAAGTAGGTAAAATAATTATCCCATTTCACAGATGAGGAAACTGAAGCAGCGAGACGTCAAATTACTTGCCCACGTTCATGTACTTAGTGGCAGAGCCATGAGTTGAATACAGCCAGTCAGCCTTCAGAGTCCATACTGTCAGCCACTGTTTTATGAAGCATATTAACAATTTACTCTTAAAAGTCAAGGAATCTGTGCTATTTTGTTTCCTTTCTCCTTGTAGTGCCTAGGACTTCACTCTGCAAACAGCGAGGGTGCTTCTCATTAAGGCTCCTGACATCTCTCTAAGGTAGGTGATAATAATAAAAATAAAAATTCGTCAAGCTTACTTCACCTAGTAAATACCTTTGAAAAAAATACAGTAATACAAATATTAAATCCTGAATAATTGTGGCACCTCTTGGCTTAATGCCTGCTTCAGGGTTACGAAAGAATTACTTCAAATGTTTTGGGCTGGAAAGAGAGGCCTGAATTAACAGCCACTAACTCTATTTTCAGAAAGGCAGAGGGGGTGGGAAGAAGTGAGAGGGAGGGGGAGAAAGAGAGATAGTGGTTTAGGAATCTTCTCTGCTTCGCTAAAAGAACCCTAAAACCCAGAGCAAGCGCAGTTGAGAAAACAAAGGGCCTTTGGCGTGGCACTCTCTTACAGTCTAATTAATGTATATTTTCATGACTAAATACAGGAATGGTAAAGTCATTATCAGGTCGCTTCTACCCTGCACTCCAGGTATTCTGAGACTCGCCTTTCTGTTCTGCAAAACAATCACGGCTTTTCCAACCTCGGCGGCCCCCTGAGCTCCCAGCCCCGGCCACCTGAGGATGCTCAGGGGTGCGATTCCTTGCGGAGCGCCACCGCTTCCAGGCAGCCCTTTGCAAGGACACCCGGCCTGGCGTCCTTCAGGCTCCGGTTTCCAGGCAACCCCACTCAGGCCGGAGCAACTGTTCCTCCTCCTAGGTCGCCAGTTTAAGAGTCCCCGGGCGCAGCACCAGGGACCCCTGGGCAGAGGGCTGGCTTCAGCCCCTCCCGGTGCTGCAGACTTCCCTAACCCGGATGTTGGGGCTGCGGTAGCCACTCTCACCTCCCAATGCCTAGATTTCCGCTCTGGCTCCAAATCTAGTCACTTCGCACTTTTGACGTCCTCCTTCAGAAAAAAAAAAAAAAAAAAAAATCCTAGGAGTCAACCCTCCGAAGCAACGGAGCCTGACTTAGCCATGCAACCCATAGAGAACTGATTCCTGGGAAATGTAGTTCTTTCTGACGTTAAGTGGTGAGTTTTAAGGAAAAAGGACTACAATTCCCAGAAATCTAAGGGAGGATTGTCCAAGTCTAAAACGTGTCCCAGCTGCTTGCATTGTACTTAGACAGGAAGGTTCTGTGGCTCTTTGCTTACCTAACTGCCTGGATTGTACTAATTCAGTCCCACTACGAGCTTGTGGAAGAACTTTTGTTTAAAACATGCTTTCTTCGTGTGAGGGGATCTAAACACAGTTATTTATAGAAAGAGTTTTAGTAAGTTAATTTTTTTTTGTAATTCTTTCAGATAAAAGAACTATCCACAATCAGAAAATATGTCACTTCAGATGGTTACAGTCAGTAATAACATAGCCTTAATTCAACCAGGCTTCTCACTAATGAATTTTGATGGACAAGTTTTCTTCTTCGGCCAAAAAGGCTGGCCCAAGAGGTCCTGCCCCACTGGAGTTTTCCATTTTGATGTAAAACATAACAATCTCAAATTGAAGCCTGCAGTTTTCTCTAAGGATTCCTGCTACCTTCCTCCTCTTCGCTACCCAGCCACTTGCACATTCAAAGGAGGCTTAGAGTCTGAAAGGCAACAATACATTATCCACGGAGGGAAAACACCAAACAATGAGCTTTCAGATAAGATGTATGTTATGTCTGTTGTGTGCAAGAACAACAAAAAAGTTACTTTTCGCTGCACTGAGAAAGACTTGGTAGGAGATGTTCCTGAAGCCAGATATGGTCATTCCATTGATGTGGTATATAGTCGAGGGAAGAGCATGGGTGTTGTCTTTGGAGGGCGGTCATACATACCTTCTGCCCAGAGAACCACAGAAAAATGGAATACTGTAGCAGACTGCCTGCCCCATGTTTTCTTGGTGGATTTTGAATTTGGGTGCTCTACATCATACATTCTTCCAGAACTTCAGGATGGGCTATCTTTCCATGTCTCCATTGCCAGAAATGATACCATTTATATTTTGGGAGGACATTCACTTGCCAATAACATCCGCCCTGCCAACCTCTACAGAATAAGGGTTGATCTCCCCCTGGGGAGCCCAGCTGTGAATTGCACAGTTTTGCCAGGAGGAATCTCTGTCTCTAGTGCAATCCTGACTCAGACAAACAATGATGAATTTGTTATTGTGGGTGGCTATCAGCTTGAAAATCAGAAAAGAATGGTCTGCAACATCATCTCTTTTGAAGACAACAAGATAGAGATTCGAGAGATGGAGACCCCAGATTGGACCCCAGATATTAAGCACAGCAAGATATGGTTTGGAAGCAACATGGGCAATGGAACTGTTTTCCTTGGCATACCAGGAGACAATAAACAAGCTGTTTCAGAAACATACTATTTCTACATGTTGAAATGTGCAGAAGACGATGTGAACGAAGATCAGAAAACATTCACCAATAGTCAGACATCAACAGAAGACCCAGGGGACTCCACGCCCTTCGAAGACTCAGAAGAATTTTGTTTCAGTGCAGAAGCAAATAGTTTCAATGGTGACGATGAATTTGACACCTATAATGAAGATGATGAGGAAGATGAATCTGTAACTGGCTACTGGATTACATGCTGCTCTACTTGTGATGTGGATATCAACACTTGGGTACCATTTTATTCAACTGAGCTAAACAAGCCTGCCATGATCTATTGCTCTCATGGAGATGGGCACTGGGTCCATGCCCAGTGCATGGATCTGGCGGAACGCACACTCATCCAGCTGTCGGAAGGAAGCAACAAGTATTACTGCAATGAGCATGTGAAGATAGCAAGAGCATTGCAAACCCCAAAACAAGCTCTCCCCTTAAAAAGGCCTCCACTGAAATCCCTCCACAAAAAGGGTTCTGGGAAAATTCTTACTCCTGCCAAGAAATCCTTTCTTAGAAGGTTGTTTGATTAGTTTCACAAAAACCTTCCAGATTCAAGTACATCAAGTTTTTAAACCAATTATAAGAATCATAGCAATGATAAAATTATATTCATCCTTTCATTTATTGAAAATGTCTGCATTTGCTTTTAGTTAGATGAAATTTGGTACCAGTAAAAAGTACTTATAATACAGTACTAAGCAACTGAAAATATTTTACTCAAAGATATCTTAAATGAATATTTCTGATCTGAATTTCTTCATTCAAAGAATCTTAAATGCAGAATTAGTAATAATAAGATAGATAGATAGATAGATAGACTCCATTGGCATGAATAAATAGAAAAGGAATAATCATCAAGTTAGTTAAATTTTTATCAAGTATCTGCATGAACTTTCTTTGAAGGATCCCTCATCATATGGTATACAAATGATAAACCAAAGCCAGTCACTTGAACTGATTCTTGGAGAGAGTCAGTTCACTGATGCTTAGTACTCTGAAAAAAAAAAGAAAATGAGTTAGAGTACACTAAAAAAATTAGGGGGTGGGGGATAAATCTCACAGAGAAGGATAGTATTGTTTATTTCCCCCAAAAATAAAAAGTTTAAAGGATTTCCTATAGTTAACAGGTAGAAGACTTCAAACAAAGGGAAATAATTTGTGTATATGTCTAGTTAATATGAGGAGTTTGCTGCCAGTGAAACTGTAAAATCAGTGAGCTTGTTAAGGTTCAATAAAATACTTTCTAGAATGCAAGTTAAAAGGACTGTTAATTTTGAGGCTAAGAGACATCAATCGATAATTAGATGACCTTTGGAACAAATATCTTCCCCCCCCCCAAAGTATTTTTCTGGAAAGGAGTTTTACCTTAACCTAAGAGCCTAAGCCATAGACTCTTGTCATCAGTCTTCATTGAGAGTCCACAATGTAAGTTACTATTGCAAATTTTTGAAAAATATGAACCATACAAAAGATAAAACCCTGGAACCCAAGTTCTTTTATTCCTAACAGTTCCATGTCTTAGATGTTAAAATTAACTTGAATAAATTAAATCATGTTAACTTTGTTTCAGTAATGTTGTTTGATGAATATTCCTTTTGAACAATTTGCTGTGCCATTGTTTTGATTTTTTGTTATTTCTATCATCTACATGAAACTAATAAAATATGAAAATGCCTCCTGTTTATATTGATTTACTCCAATTATTAACATTTATAGTTACCCAATGAAGGGCAAAATTATACTATTTAATAGTCTCAGGATCCCGGTAATTTCTTTTCTATCTGTTAGTAGAAACTGGCATAAGTTACTAGTAGAGCTAAAATATCCTTCACAGAGTTCAAAAGAGTTATTCCTTCTAGAGGCAGATACAAACTCTTATTTTGATTTGTCTACAGATTAGAAAAAGTAAAATTGTCATTCATTCATTAGTTCTTTGTGGAAGAATCAAAATGTAAAATACATGTACAACGATATAGTGTTAATAAACTTAGCAGAAGAGCCACATACTAAGGTCGTTTTTATTAATATCCATTGTTCAAATATAAGAAAATTTTACTTATCCAAGTTAGTGAAATCTTTTAAAATATTATCTTTAGAGAATATTATTTAAAAGGGCAATGTCATTTTCAGACATGTTCTGAAATTTAAACTCATTTTGTAACAGAATTACAGAATAGCATTTTAATTAAATTAAATAGTATCTCAAATTATTGTCACACTACACAGACTTCATCATCTCTCTTCAGTACTGTTTCAGCATCATCTAATGATTTCTACTCTTACACCTAAACCAGTAAACTACTATTTACTAAGTATACTAAGTGTCTGACTTTAACCAACTATGAATTTCATAAGACTCAAATGGTGACTTTATAATTTTGGTATTCCTGGTACTTAGCATTATGCCTGGCCTATTGTAGGCTTCTAAAGTGCAGTTGAACTGAATTGAATTAAATTAAATTAATTGGTGAATTCCATCTATATTCCAGTAAGGACAACCTATTCTTTGTCTAACATAACACTAAGATACACACACACACACACACACACACACACACACACACACACACACACACGAGACAACCTATACATACATATGTGTGTGTATTCTTAATACCAAACCCTGTTCCTGGTATATTAATTAATGCTCAATAAATGTCCATTGAATTAAGTTCACTGTATATCGACTGAAATGTAGTCACTTCTGTAGTTGTTGTCTCACTATCCTTCTGATTCCTTAATAAGTGGAAGATGAGATATGGAAATGCATCCCTTGTGTTCCAAATATCTTTACCAATCAAACTATCTCATCCCACAGAGCTTAGAAACAAACAAAAAAACAAAAGTGTACTGCACAGAAGATGGGGTGAGGTCTCGATTAAATTTATTCTCTTTTGTAGTGAAAAGAGGTCACACAGGTTTAGAATGGATATCATGGTAAATTTAGGTAGAAAAGGCAGCCATTCTAATCCCCAGTGACAAGAATTCCAAATAATTTATATGCTACCAAATTCCACCATAGCATAGAATATTGCTTTTTGACTGGGAATTTAGCATAGATGATGCCAGCTTTTGCCAAACCTACTTCTGTCAGGAAACACCTAATGTAGGGATCTTATTTCTAAAAGAACTAATACCTCATTCTCTCTCCAGATGTCAATCTAGTAGATGTGTATTTATTTAAGTCATAATTTTGTGAGACTAGATAGGAAAACTTACCAATAACATTCCTTTTAAAAAGCTGATTAGCATGTATAGCTTAAGGATAAAGAGCCGAGTAGCCTCTTTGGGGTATCCATCAGTAAGCATTTATAGACAGTCCAAGGTCTACGCAAAATATGATGGGACCTGCAAAAGAAATGTAAAGTGGAGCCCGATCTTTGGGGAAGTTACAGTCTTACTGTAGAATGAGGCAAGGGGGCAAGGCAGGAAAGTGATAGAAAATAAATACACTTCAAGCAACTGGTGACAAAGTTAAAATTGGGTATCCATGCAGGAACACTTTCCCTTTTTTGTAACAGTAAGTCAGTATGTATTTTGAGACGGCATTGTCACCATCAGCAGGGGGAAAAATGATTGGGTAAAAGCCAGAAGGAAACGGAAGTTTCCATGAGAAAGAAGGAAACAAGTCAGGGGAAGAAATGCTGACTTCATGAGAGGATGAGTCTACCAGGGAGGCGCCCACAGAACCTCCCTTCACCTCCTCCCGGTGGGGCACAGTCGTCGGAGGGCATGAGATGTGTGCAGGAGGACATGTAGAACATGTCAAGATGTTTGAAGTTGCTACTCCGTCATTTAAACACGTAGGCATAACCTTTCTCACTCTTGGACAAATCCCCTCACACGTAACACCTTCCTAACGCATTCCGCTCGTATCCCGCTCCTCTCTGGCCGTGGACTGTATCAGTTGTCTGCCTCAAACTCTTCAATGGTTTCCATTTGCATTTGGGGTAGGATTGAAAGTCTTGACCTAACCCAGCCGGTGTTGTTCACTGGTTGAGCATGAACCCATGAACCAAGGGATCCCTGGTTCGGTTTCCAGGCAGGCCTGATCC